ACCACTGTTTACTGCAGAAATACAGTAGGAACTTCCAGCATACTAGCGTTCTTGCAAATTAGGCAATGTCAGAAAGTTTCAAAACATCCAAAATCTTTCGTGGTCAAGTTCAAAAGCGCTAATCTGATCAACTTCAATAGGTAAACAGTTTGAACGTGTAGTCAGGTTTCTGGAGAATTCGAGAGATTAGCAACAAAACTTCCAGCTTTTCTAGAAGTCCTTTTTCGAGTAACTTTTGTCTCTCAATGATGCAAAATCTCTTCAAATTCCTTATCGCCCTCAGTAAAGAAACGAAGAATGATTTGCTCTATAAATCAAATTTAATTTGGACGTAACAATTGTATCTAAAGGTCGGCGAAATACATCAGAGCAAGGGGAACATTTTTTCAAACAGTAGGGGCATTTCTTAAAGCACCCCGTATACGGGCCTCACAGATCGTTTCTATATTTTTGATTTTGAAAATCCCTTTTTTTTTTGCTATGTCACACCTAACGATAGGATTTTTTTAAAAGTAAGATATTAAGCGTCTAGGTTGTAACATCACTAGTTCAGTTTTTATTAAATTACATATGCTGCTTTGTCGCTGGCACCCCAAAAGAAGCCCTAAAAAGCTGGAGATGCAAGCAGAAGTGTGCTTACGAAGCAATTGAGTGACATTCACTACGAGGAGGTCGTTGCATGACATTTCATCTGAGCGACCTGATAAACCTTCACGACGATGCGTGGCTGCTGTGAAATGTCGCAGTTGAAATGTGAGCCTAGCAGAGAAAGAAATGTCGTACATGGCTCAAACTTTTCGAGCTGAACTTTGGAAGGAATTTGATTGTGGAAAAATATGCGGAAGAATCCAAAACCACTTGAGAAAAAAATTTCAAGAAAACAAATGAAAACTTTCGCTATATAAAAAAAAACTTTTTGTCATTTCTTGACCTATGAATATAGGACAAAAAATCAAGAAATCATTGAAAAAACATGTTTCAAACAGCTCTTGATCCCAAATTTCAATTCTAACATCATTTTTACTATTAAGCAATATCTACTCACCTCACTAAGACCTCATCGAATCTCCTTATAATCTTTCTCATTTGGATCAGGTAACTCATTCACATACTCGTCTGAAAATATCCTCAAGTTACTCAAGTTTTTTATTCATCTCTCCCCCTCGCCCATGTCTCGACGACACTCACCAGTTTTTTCTCGATCGTCTGGATGTTTGTCAGCTTCTTCACCTTTCCGTATATGTCGTGCTTTCTCGGCTAATTTTGCTACCAAATCTTTTGGTGGTAACAAAATTGGTGGTTTAAATTCGTCTTGGTTTCGATCAAATGACAAAGCTTCTCCGACCTAAAAAAAACATTGAAGATGGTAGGGATGGTGATGAGTAAAGATGAAAGCCTACTTTATGTTTCCTTTCAAAAAATGCCGTCTCATTCTGCGTGTAATGAGCAATGGGCACTGCCTGTAATGCAATCATTTGTATTTTTCAAAATCTGAATAATTGACAGATTGTCTATGATAATTGTTTGACATTTATTAGGGCATCCTATTCTGTAACAAGCTTGAATGCGGAGGCTTGTTGCTAATTTTGCAATGAGTCACAAGAATGAGCAATTGCAAAATAATCCTCCGAAAGCAGCGTTACGAAGAATCTTTTTGAAAACACAGATTTAATCTGGAATCATTATTAGGTTGTTACATAAATTTGCTCAAACGAAAAAAA